AAACTTCTTCATTTGCCTTGCTTTCGATGAAAAAATTACCCATCTATCTTCAATAGAAGTGGAGATGTTTTGGATTCAAGGAGGTGGGGATCATCTGGTAAAATTAGAGAGAAAAATGGCTGCCAAACTTTGGCAACTTCCACAGCTCGAGAGTCCACAGAAACTGTAAATTTACATTTTTAGTGTTTTTTGGTAAAATCCACACAGAAATTTGTATGGACATAAAAGGTGTTATAGTGTTAAGTTAAAAAAACCTTTAAGATCGATAAAAATTTCCTATCGGGAAGAAAAATGCTGTTTTCTTTGACTTCATCAGTTTGACGAGAGCCCGGTTTCACCAAGATGCCTCACAATTTAAACAAAGACAGACTCAAGTGAGTTCAACACAAGTGGAGTCGATTAGTGCTATCAATGATGAATTTTTCACTTTTGTAATCAATCTATAAAATGCCACCTTTTCCTTACACAAGTATACTTACTAGTGCAGAAACCTCAGGGTCAAGGCGTGACGCTCGTATGCAATGCTTACATGCGTTAAAAGATGGCGGAAAACTAGGTTTACTCTGTGATGCTTTACAAAACAAAAGTACTTTGCCTCACACCCCTCATAGAAAATGCCCTGTCAATAGTAAAATTACTAAAACAGAGAAACATCAAGACACTTTCTAAAACCTGAAGCAATTTTAGTCACAAATGAACTCCTACTGAGACAGAGAAGTTCCCTTCAAGTAATTGCAGAGACCAATTGCTTCCCAGTCAGTTACATAGCCTACTCGAGGAGTACTCAGATAGTATTAGAAAAAGTTTGTAGTATCTACAAAAAGCATTACAGCTGTAATTTCGATATATATTATATATATCATACAACAGTCGAACCTGCTCTACTAACAGCCACCTGTCCATGAAAATCACCTTTACAAATTACCACTAACTCCCCCCCCCCCCCACCCACTTGCTTTGAAAAAACCCCCATTGTAAATTATAATGACTGTCCAAGACATCCACCTGTGTCTAAGACAACTACTTTTCTCATTGACAATGGGTGGCCATCTTGGACTATTTCGACTATTTCTATTGTCCATTATATCATCTAGCACTTGATCAGGAGTTTTGAACCTCTCCACATAAACCACAAGAATGAAACCCAAACCTAAGACAGAGATATTTCAACATAAAAGATGCTTGCTAGCTCTGAGTTTTAAAAAGAATCAGGGCAAAAACATCCATATATCACTATTACCTTTGTGCCAAAACAAGACAAGCCAGTCACTCCCAGTTGGGGATTTTTGAATTGATCAAAATTTCTGAGCAAATGTTGTATATATAACAAACATAACCCATTAGTCAGTAACAAATCAACTTTCAGTGCAGTACAATGAAAAGTACAATGAAAATGAAATTCATCTGTCTATATATCAACCATTACTCCAAAATTAATTTCCTTGATATGATAAAGATTAACCCTATCCGTATGTCGTGTTTTACTATTGTATCCATATGACGTGGGGAAGTCTGTGCCACCACTTTCCAAAGAGGAAATTTACTCGCTAATCCGATCCGCACGCTTTGCATAGTAGTCTGTCAAAATGATTTTTTGAGAAATACTGAAAGTTTCAAAGAGATCTTCGACTAGAAGTATTCTAAATATAAAAATGTGAAGAATACAATGCTGGGGGTACAAAATGACCCCAGGGCATACGGATAGGGTTAAAGAGCTTCATTTCCCCCTCACCCTTAAACTTACCTTGGGTTTCAAACAATTCATAACCAACTTTACAAGCACGATGTCTTATTAGCAGCATCAAAACTTAATAACTCCAAGACATGGACAAGAACCTTCACTGTGAATAGGACTAGGGGTATAAATTTATAAAGATTGCTTTTAAAACAATATTAGAAAATGTATGAAAATTATATTTACAAAGAATTATTACTAAACTCAATAAAAAGTAGGCCCTGATGGATATTTTAAAAAACATACCAAAATTTTAAATGACTATTATGAATACTTTATTATATATATGTCTTCTACTGTAGAAATACTACCCTGCATTTAAAATCATTCTTCCACTACATGTACCACAGGTATCAGTTCAGTGAAATTCACATAAATCAAACTTTGACTCAACGAACAGAATATTCATCCTTTCTAAAAATTCATTAAAATTAAAATCAATAAAACTCCTTGCATTCAACAAACACTCAAACAAGTAAACTCAGAGAAGTTGCTTGCAGAACGAATGACCCCAGCTCATGTGGCTTTGTAAACTTTTCTCGTGCAATGAACTTTATCTACCGTTGGCCCCCCTGCACCGCGGATCATTGCACAATTTTTGCCCATCATTCACACTGCACACTAAGATTGACCTTTCTTCAGAATCACGCAGCCAACACATTTTTCACCTCAACACATGTGAACACACAGCCAACACATTTTTCGTTTGGTTTTAGTAAGAGTTTTACGCTACACTAGAACACTATAAAGGTCATATAAGTGCCGAAGATTAGATGTGATACAAGAGAGTAACAAATATATACCTTTTATATATAAAAAAAGGAGGAGGAGAGATCAGGACGATAGGTGTTAGAATTATAGAAAAGAAGGAGCAAATCACACCAGAGCACCCACCAACCAGCCACTCACATCTTTCACCTCAACACTTGTTGACACACAGCCAACACAACTTTCACACCAACACATGTTTGATACACAGCCAACACAACTTTCACCTCAAAACATGTTGACACACAGCCAACACATCTTTCACCTCAAAACATGTTTGACACACAGCCAACACATCTTTCACTTTCACAAACAACACATGTTTGACACACAGCCAACACATCTTTCACAAACAACACATGTTTGACACACAGCCAACACATCTTTCACAAACAACACATGTTTGACACACAGCCGACACATCTTTCACCTAAAAACATGTTGACACACAGCCGACACAACTTTCACCACAACACATGTTTGAAACACAGCCAACACAACTTTCACACCAACACATGTTTGATACACAGCCAACACATCTTTCACACCAACACATGTTGAAGACACTTGCACTAGACGCTAGACTGGCCATGTGTTGGTGTTGGAAGAGGCTTGATGCGTACATCATCATCATCGCCTTTCTCACCCTGCACCAGGGTACCGGCCACGGACAATCACTTTCCACTTTTCTCTATCCTGGGCTAGCCTCTTGATGTTATTCCATGTCTTCCCACTTTTCTGTACATCAATTTTCATAATTCTTCTCCAGGTTCCACGCAGTCTTCTCCTTGATCTTTTACCCTGTGATGTATGATACATACTGTGTGTGTGTTGTAGAGGTCCCTGTGTGTGTGTGGGGGGGGGGGGGGGGAGGCTTATGTATTGGGCATGGATTGCCAGCTGAGGTGCAATCCAACAGGATCGATAACAACAAGGTACAATCCAAAAATTTTTGCCTGGCTACTGATGAACAATATTAGACATAAATCTGCATGATGGGCTGCTGATAGGTCTGTGGAAACAAGCATTGGAAGTATCCATTGTGTGACAGACATGTGCATTTGAATTTGAGCCAAATGTGCTTTTTACCAGGGCTGAGAATTGTCCGCCGAAAGGCGAATTTCCGCTAATTGCAACACTGCCGTCTGCTCATCCGAATGTCTCTTCCACCTTTTTTCCGAGTTTCATATTATAATAAATTTAATAATATTGCAGTAAGAATAAAAAAAGAATTGAATAAGAGATGGACCCCCCTAATTTTCCGCCTTTTTTGTGGTATGCCATTCTCAGCCCTGTTTACACAGTTGGCATTCTGACACTCAATTGTATACTGTAGCACTACAGCAGTTAAGTTCTCAACATTAGTTTAGCTCAGGGACACGTGTGATATGGCAGCAAAGAACAGAAAATGACTAGTTTTGACTCAAAATGAGTCAATAAACGGGGAAAAAAAAGAAACCTCGCCAGGTATAAGCATCAAAGTCATATCCCCTAGCGTTTATAGGGAGCAAATCACAAACACAAATAAACAAAATAAAATGTCGTAAAAATTGTTAAAGCCTGAGTCATTATTTGGTTTCTAAAATTCCTTTAAGGTTATCTCAATTGCGACTGGGCCCTTTCACCAGTCACAAGCGTTGAAGACTGGCGTTTTTGGGGGTATTTCAATAAATCACCACAACTCTCAGAATTACCCTATTGTAATTATTTTTTGACACAGTAAAGTAACATTCAAGCTTAATCTAATACAAAAAACCAAAGTTGTCTAAGTTTAATACTTTAATTTGTATGATTTTTTAAAAATTGGCATGAATTTGATTTTCCAAAAAATTTCCAGAGATGTGACAAGTGGAATGAAATTCACTACAACAACAAAAATTAAAGTTCAAAGTGTTCTGGTTTGATTTGTATACATGTGCGAGTGTTTGGTGAATATATAAAAGCTGCTCTGTGCATTGATTCAGACCCATACACTGAAAATACATAGACAGATGTACGGCACGGCGTTGTGATTTCGTTGCGCGAAAAACAACACCGGTACTAGTGCTAGATCTAGCCCTAAAACTACGACTCGGGCCGTGTTCAGGTACATATCCAGGATCCTAACTATTAGACACATCATATTCTGAGACACTAAAACTAGTAAAACGTACAGAATTATAGAAAACGGCGAAATTATGTGATTCTGGTTCATGCGACTTCTTCGACCGTTACTACGACGCGACTGTCGGATTACTATGAGCTGTATAGAAAAAAACAAAGCGCGAGTTCCGGTCTGTTCAACCCCAGTTGGGGTCACTGTCCTTCACCTTCAATAACTTAAAAACTACCGGCCCCAGAGATACGAAACGAAGTCTAAGTAGCTCAGGCTTGGCCAAACAAGGGTACGAGGCGGGTCTCGCGATCCGTGCGTGATTTGTAGAGCGAAAAAAAAATTCCAAAGTTGGTCACGCAGGGCTCGTGTGACCCGTCGCGAGCGTCGCGGCGGGGGTCACGCAACTGTTGTGTGACCCGTCTGAAGTGAGTTAAAACAACCTTGCTAGCATTTCTAAAAAAACCCATAAAAAACAACTAGAACTGGGTCCACTCAAACAAGAGCCCATCAAAGCATCATAAGGTAAGAGAAACTTGACTACAGTATGCTCTCAGTTAACAATTTTAGAGTATTCAGAAAAAAAATCCCTGAGAAACACATCTTCCAGTTGCTGCCGTATATTGCCGTTTTCATTAACAGTCTTGTTCTTCGGCTGTTCGATGACAAAGCTGAGTCCTCCCGTGGCAGTGAAATAGTCTCCAGACCAGTTGGAAGTTCCTGAGAAGGGAGGTGGAAAGTGGAAATCACAGGCTGAGCAACAACAAAAAAATTAAAAATATATTAAACAATTTTTTTTACAATTACACAAGCTCATGTCTCTTTCATCGTTCAATTCCTTTTCTCTTTGAAACTCTCCTTGGCTGACAGGAAAAATTCTTGACATTGTGACATCGGCATCTATGCAGTGAAGGTCACGCTCTTCATCGTTGCACACTATAGACTCAAGTGCGATTCACTAACTAATGGGGAACTCGGTAGAAAACAACAAAGACTCTCAGTGGTTGTAGATTTAGAAAATCTGTCATTCTCATAATCCCCGAGCACAGTCAGCTAACTCACTACCTCAGAATTACAAAGCTCTTTCTGCTCGGTACTTAGATTTGAGAAATTTGAGAAATTTGACGTTGTAGATTTTGAGTTACACAACATGTCAAGCTTTTTCGAATACAATTCTTTGAATCTTGATAACGAGTCTGAATAATCTTACAATTTTGACAGAGCAGATAGAACATTTGGTTTCTGATCTCATGGTCTTAGTAATTCAAAATCGCCAAAAATGTTGGATAGAACTTTGTAATTCAAGTCAAATCTCAAAATAAAAGCAAATGATGTTGCCTTACTATGGTCAGTTTTCTGACTTCTAACATGATCTGTGCTACCTAAAGTTCATTCCATGTCATTACTGAGACAGTTTTTTTCCCATCTCTGTATAATTTCCTCGAGTGCATTTTGGCGATCACATTGTTCTGCCAACAGCGATCTACATAATTTTCAAAATCAATCAGAATGTTTGAAATATCGACTTCTGATGAAAGCAAGAAGAATGTCATCCCTGTACAAAAATCATGAATCTCTCACCAATATAGGCATGCTGGTCAGTCACCATGTACTTGCAGTGGTCGACACGGGCGAAGGGAATCTTTTTTTGCTCTGGAGTGGCAGGAACAGTAAATAGTTTCTGAAATAAAGAATGTGAACTTGGGTTTGTCTGTGATAAAAATTGGTATGGGGTCAAAGCCCATGTCAAATCTGTTAGTGGAAGAATGATTAAAAATGCAGAGTAGTATGTCTACTTCAGAACACATAATTATATCATAAACTATAGCTGATATAGATTACCGTAATTTTCAACAAACTCTGCTGAGTTGAAACCATCTCAATTCAACGTTTCCTTAGACAAGAGCAGACATGTGGCTTGTTGCGGGTTAACCCTTCCAGCCCCACGAACGTATATTTTTAGCAGCACTTGTACCTCCCACCATCCCAAGAGCGTATATTCTCAGAGAACGGCTTTGCACCCAGCACAGCATTTGGCAGGAAAAACTTGTTTACATCGGATGTTGCCAGATACTGGCACTCTTTTTAGGGGCCAAAATAATTATTTTCAGTTTTAATTAAAAAGATTAGAGTCTTTAGCTACATTTCGTTTATTGCATGTTGTTTCTTCTTTCTACAATTTTTACGGCGGTTACTTGTTACCTTCCACAACTCGAGGACAACTTGGTCATCGTTTCCCTTTCGCCCGAGGCCCTTGCGGTACAAAGTATGTTTTCAGCAAAAAATCCTCGAAATCAGTCACCGCCAAGAACGACACAATCAAAGACGAGTCGAAACACTACCCAGCGGAGTGGCAGTACTGTTTGTGTTCATATCTCTTTAACAACGGTTTATTAAAGCTTTCTGAGGGTTGAAAATGGCATTTTTCCATTGCTGCTATTATTCAATTTGTCATCGCATCTCTTACAGTACGGTAGACTATGCAAATCCGGGAACATCAATCCTGACGGTATGATCACCAATCCAATAGATTCTACTCTCATTTTCCACCATTTTTTACGCGTTCGATTGTGGAATGCCAAAACCAGAGTACAATTTCACTTATTTGAAAAAAATATTTATTTTGGTAGCCTTTATTTTCACGACAGAGTCGCGCAGAGGGACAACGGTTGAGCGGGCACAAATAGGCCTATAATTTCTTGCCGAGGGTGGGATTCTAGATCTACCGCCTGAGAAGCAAGAAAGCAAGTGTGCCCCCCCCCCCTCCTTTTCTCTATCTGTCTGTCGTCTGTCTGTTTGTCTGTCTCTCTCTCTCTCCCTCTCTCTTTTCCAAGATTTCGGGATGTAGATCTAGGTTACGGGTTTTGCAAGGGAAAGTTGGTGTCGGAAGCACTCTCGGCACCTATTGTATTGCAAATCCGGTGGTTTGGACACATTAACCCACTCAGTACCATTGGATTTCCAGTAGGAAGATGGCTCAGGACCACGCAAAGGGGAATAAATCCATGTTTGTAATGTAGTGGGTATTTTGAAAAAATCATTATAAAATAACCAATCCATTGATTTAAAAAAATCTTATAACAAGTTCTTCACAAATGAATAAATTTTAATTAAAAAATTACTTGTTTATTGTGTGTGTTGACTGTATTTCATAATTGAAGATAAAATCAGCCGAGTTGTAGATCTAGGTCTAGAACTAGTCATATGCTCCTCATTGACCTCATTCTCATTGTCCGAATCACCCCCCAAAGGCACAATTAGATCACCATCAATGTCACTTTCACTTCAGTTGCTACCTTTCTGTGGGTTTTCTCCCCCAGCACTGATATTTTCATTAAAATTATCCAAAAGTTCGCCTAAATCAGTCCGAACGCGATGCCGGTGGCTTGCGAAAAACGCTCGCTTACTCTTAGCTTGCGCGACCCGTGTGAGCTGCAGTTTGTTTACATTGAATTTAGTCCAACTAAAATTTCCAGAGTTATGTCCCTGCTGCTCTCAATGAGAGAATAATTATCTATTTTGGTTGAAATGCGGGTTAAATACGATGGTTACCAAGCGTGAACACTTCCCTAAAAACAATGCTACTAGCGCGCGGCCGGCTACGGCCGTAATGGTACTAGGCTTATGAAACGGAAGCGGCCGTTATGGTACGAGTGGGTTAATCGGAATGACGTTAGAACAAGACCAAAATCGGAAACAAGATCTAGATCTTCCGAAAAAAAATTGCTTAGAAAATCTAGATAGACCTCTGCGGTAAGAGCTGGTATGTCTTTGACAGGTCGTGAAAATGCGCTGAAATTTTTTTTGCGCGGCATGTCGTGAAACTACTGGCTGCCTTGTAAAAAACATGATATCATTTGTCGCTCAATTATTGTGCAATAACCACAGTTGTAAATAACATAAATAATGTATATCTTCCAAACCATCAAGCCATTGGTGCGACTGAATAAATATAAAGATAACGAGTACACATAGGTACCCTGCACTTACAACTACCACTTTTCCTCTGTAAACTCTATTCATGTCGTCCAGAGACTTGAGGTAACCGTACATGTCGCCATGTGTATGTGCCCAGTGGGCTGCCATCAGGTAGAGAGTTACATCACGGTCAATCACTGCCCTTCTCAGAGCGTCATCGATTACAGGCCAAAACCTGCAAAAGGAAAAAAAAAAAACCCCTCTTACACAGAGTTTATGAAAATTTAAAGTAATTTTTCTGAAAAAAAACAAAACAATTGTAAAACACAAAACATATCAAGGAAGTAGCCAGTCAGAGGCAAGTTTATTTCAACATTTATTGCTGTTTGTAATATTGCATGACATAATATTAGCCCTACAATTGCCATATCTAGTTGAGTGGTTTGTTAACGAAACTTTCCGCAATGTTGAACATATTATGAACATCCTTCTCCCCCCCCCCCCCCCCCCCCCCCCACCACCCCTTCCATGCCTATGCTTAATTTTGAATAAAAACAAATTTATAATTAATTCTTTCTGAAGACCCATAAATAAGTGTAAAGTTTTTCACTACCGGCAAGTTCTAGAACTAGCTTTGTCATGAAAAAATACCAACACACCTTAATTTTTGTTCAAGTCTGCAATGAGGCACATTTAAAAAAAAAATTAAAAAAATAAAACACTACAAAGTTTATCTATTTTACCAATAACTAAGAAATATAAAACTAAACTACCTATAAGGTTTTTTGTAAATAATAGCAGGAAAATAGTCCATGACAGAAATGTAAATGAAGTCTTTGGCGCTCCTGACAACTTCAAGAAGAGCGTCAATATCACTGGTGCGGCCGTCGGGGCAGAATGAAGGCGGAGAGCTCTGAAAGAAAAAAATATATTGTTTTAATTAAAATGGCCAGCACTTATCACTACATGGCATTGGACAGAAGGGCGAGAGCCCAGCTGTTGCTGGATCAATAACAACAACAACAACAATTACAATGGCCCTATCTCCTTTCTCTTTGTGCCTGTTTTTTTTTCTACTTAATCTCAGCCGACTGATTTTTACAGAGTAGCTTAATGAAATACATAGTCTCTCAACTTTTAGGAAACAGCATGCCATTTTTTCAAATGTGTCACGATGAGGTGGAATCAGGCGCTCGTCAGGTTTTGGGTATGTGGAGATATTGGTACTAACTTCAAGCCTGTTCATTTGTCTTGCTTTCGACGGAAAAAAAAAATACCCATCAATCTGAGGTAAAAGTCAAGATTTTTGCGACTGAAGGAGGTGGAATCGTCAGCTTTCAGAGGTAAAATTAGCGAGAAAATGGTCGCCAAAGTGAGTGATTTTCAAAGCTTGAGAAACCTTGGAAACTGAAAAATTACAATTTTTGAGCATTTAATCAACATTTTTCAGTAAAACTGTCCCCGTGGTTTTATGTACCCCGCATAATTTAGCAAAATTTGAACATTTTTTGCATATTTTCTTATTATTTTCCTTTATCTGTCTTTGTTAAAATTAACAGAATCGCATAATTTCACATTTTTGGGCTCAGTTTGCATAATTTCAGAATTTTTTTGCATAAAACAACAGGGACAGGTAAAATCCACACAACAATGAGTTTTTAAATGGACTTAAAATTAAAAGGTTTTTGAGCCAATAAATAAAAATTTGAAAAAGATTGCCTTGCGGGCGAAAAAAGGACTGTATCTTGAAAAACAGTGTAGAGTTGAAGGAAACACCAGAATCTGGGTGAGCTGTAGCCTATATGGTTTAATGAAAAATAAAAATGTGTGAGACCATAGTTGAGTGATACTTTGGTACACTGTCTCTGCTTTCTCTTGTTCTTTTCCATCAAGCACCTCTATCACAAAGGTCAGGAAGGTCTGTCTTGTGTGTAGAATCTTGTGGTTTCTAAATCTTTGGTATTGGTTGCATGTGCTTAAGAAATGTTTTGGTAAAATTCAAATTGTAAACACTGAAAAAAGGTAAAAAGATATACCTAATGTTGATATAACTTAAAAAAAAAAAAAGAAATCTTTTTTTTTTCTCTATCCCGCAAAAATTCTGCTTCCTGGGCTGAGAACATTTGGACAGCTTGCAGACGATATAAACTTCTTTATTCTTTCTCTTCAAGAACTTAAAAAAAAATGTCCCCTAAACTCTGACCCAACTAAATTTTCCCTGCACAGAGTACGATGTACTAACAAACTTACAGCAAGGTAGACAGGGGCCTTTGTGTCGTTGAAGGGAACAAGGACTGGGTCGCTCATGTTGATGTTTGTACTGTACTGCTCGGGCCAGTGTTTGGGCACCTCAGCATCAGGCTTGCCCAGGTACCAGTACACCTATTTGCCACCGAACAGTGGGGAAATTTGGAAGAACAAAAAAGTACAGTAGTTAGGTGAAAACAGGTTGGAAACTGATTCCCTCAAAATAGATGGACTATGCAGCTCGTCAGCTAACTGAATTGAAGTTCACTATAATACAAGATATAAATGAATAATGTCTGCAAGCTAATTTTTTAAACAAAAAAAACAACAAACACCCGCCCCCTACAAAATTTAAAAAATAAATAAAATTCAAACATGCATAACCTAGGCATTCACCTGATTAGAGGCAAGAATAAAAGTTGATCTACCTTGTCTGAGATTCACTGTGAAAGGTACTCAATTTAGATCAAGAAATTTACTCACCTCTCCCGACCCCAGCAAAGCAAGGTGTTTTGAATATATCACTTAATTTCATTAGTGTTATTTACATGACCTCATTCTGTTTCTTTATTTTCTTATAATAATAATAATAATACAGGTAACAATAATAATAATAATAATAAAAATAATAATAATAAAACGATAATTGCAGTTATATAGCGAATTACAAAGCTCAACAGCAAACTCTATGTGCTTTACATTTCTATTATTACCCTAGCAGACCTAAAAACACTCAAAAATGTTAATGGTTTCCTGGGAAGCATACAGTGCGAGCAGCTGAATAAGAATCGCTCAAACACTAACAAAGTGACAAGATCTTTCATTGTTCACTGTCTACAGCTGGGTACCTATTCCCACCTGGGTAAAGTGAGGAAAATGTGAGCAAAGTGCTTTTCTATCAGAAATTAGAAGAAAAGTCTTCCCAAATTAGAGCACGGATTTATAGGTGTGAGAGTTTGTAACAGTAACAGTGCAAAGCAAAAACTGAATGACAGAAAGCTGGATTCTGTAACATATGTTGATGGCTTGCACACAAGAATACCCCTCCCCCCAAAAAAAACCAACAACAAACAAACAAACAAAACAACCCCACAACAAAACAACCCTAAAATCCCACAAAAAGTATAAAAAGAAAAGAAAAGATAGAAAATGAGTTAAAACAGAAAAGAGTGGTGCCAGTCATCTTAAAGTAAAGACATTGAAAACACTTAGAATGATGCTTATCTCACCTGGAAGAGTTTTTCAGCATCTTTTCCTAAACAAGGACAGTTTTCCACAAGGACTCCTAGCTCTTTGGTCTGGAAAAAAAATCAAAACAAACATGAGAAAATGTATGACACTTCAAATCAAGACAAGTTTTTAAAATAAAATTTCTGTACTGGAGAGTTTGAAATGTGCTAATGATTATATCTATATGCCATAATGCATTCTCAATACATTTGTTTGTATGTATCCTAATGCAAAATACTATACACTGTTACCAAATGATTCATTTTCCACAAATATATTGAAATGGCTCATAGTTTTACATTGTTTTCTCTGTTTGAGGATGACTGAATTTGAGCTTTCTATGGTTTGATATTGACCTATTGATCAAGCAGTATACAGCTAAAGGGTGCAAGTCAGGAATACATTTTTCAATGGCTTGAAAATATAAAAACATGTTTCGCCAGACAACTTAGGATTGCTATAGCTTAAGTAAGAAACAACTAGATGAATTTCAAAATGAGTTGGTATAAGGGAGAAAAACCTACAAAACCACTCTCACAAAGTGAAACTTCAGAGCACAACCATATTTCTACCCCTAGTTAGCTTTAAATATATAAAGGCTTCATTATTTCAACTGCAAAAGTTGGAGTCACTCACATTCCCAGGTAGTGGACGACACAACAAAACCCAATAACAGATTCTGACTCTAACTTACAGCCTAAGTTGGGTGAGAGCCGACAAAAACAAAATCGCCACACTTTAGTAGTAGATGTTTCTTACTTTCTTTCGGTGACAAAAGCTACTTTATGTTCTCCATTACCTGTGTGTACGACCTCCAGTCCATGTTCGCACTACCAAGATACATATGCTGTCCATCCACCAGATGCATCTTCGTGTGTAACACGCCAGCTCCTATCAGACGTTCGAAGTCTACCGTACGCACTTGAGCACCATCTGAGACAAAAAACAAGAAAGAGATAGAATATTTTTAGCATTTTTTGTTGTAAACACATGCATTCTAAAAATGAATAAAAAACAACTTTGCAGTCTGTAAGGGGGGGAAACATTTGACTCCTAGGAATACAGCTGTAATATATCGTCACTGATGCAAGAAATTCAGTAACTCTTGTAATTTTTTTTTTACCTCATTTCTTTTATTAGGGTCACATGATGCATTGTTGTATTTTCTTTTTTTTTGCAACTGTGAGAAGAAAAGTGGTCATACATGTAATAGTCAGGTGGGGGGTAGTGAGAAATGGTAGTTTGTACAGGCAATGTTTTGCACACGTGGTCGTTAGTGTCAGAGCAGGTTCTACTGTATATGTTTATTAACAAATATCTCTGACATGGGAATTAACCATAAAAGGCAACCACTAACCACCCGATTAAGTGACCACTTTTTTGGTCTTTTATATTGCAATACCTCTAAGATGTTATGAAGGTCAATATCAGTCCTAAAAACAAAACAGCCTAATATAGAGAACTGTTCATTGATGAGCGAGTTCATCTGACAGTTTCATGACACTATTGACACGGGTGCTCTGTCGTATGCTCCACCCTAACTGTTGTTAGACCTACTTGTACCACTGTTGTTGACTCTCTCAAACCAGTGACAATATGAGCAAAAACTTGAACAGTGATACAGTCATTCACAGTGACCTTTGTATAACTCAAAACTACAAACTACTTTACACCCCTCTTAGGTAAGATATCATGGAATTTTACATGAACAAAAAGGCTATTGCTTTGCAAGGATTTTGTTGTTTATTCTTGAAATCCTAAAAAGCCTCCAGTTTAGTTTTAGTTACAGTTATATAAGTCACTATATAAAAGCACCACTAGAGAGTAACGTATTTAATAAAGAAAAAGAGGAGAGATGAAGATGACAGATATTTGAAAGTGAAGAAAGCGCAAACCACACAAGAGCACCCGCCAACACCATTGACAAATTTTTAAAAGTCGGCAGAGTGCTCAATACTGTGTACTAAACCCCCTCAACTCAAAACCACTTATGCAGTAGAAGTGAATAAAAAATCAAGATCTGGGATTTTTAAAACCATTTTCTTTTGCCTGTTTTATAAGTCGATTAACACTTTGCCATCACAAGGCTCATATAGTAAAAACCCTTGCCATCAAAGGCAAAGGCATTTTGGGGAAAATCCAAAGACACTGGGTGATAAACATCACCGATCGGTGAGATGTGACGGCAAAATGTTAAACAAAAAAATGAAGATCTACAAATTCTGTTCTTCTAACACAAAATAAATTCTCACTACTTCAACGAAGTAGAAAACAACTTGCGCAAGAAAGCCACATGATTTTTGAAAAGCCATGTACTTACCCCCGGCAAAGAAAACCACAGAACTTACTTTTACTCAAAATGTCAGTGTCAGCATTGGAGTTGTTCTGTGCCAGCATCACTGTTACATTGCCCGCCTTAGCAATTGCATTGATACTGTTGAAGATGCTTTCCCCCTAGTCAAGGAAAAAGATATTATTGAAAAGGAATGCAGAGTACTAATGAGCAGTTTCATTAATTGTAAAAAATAAAGAAGTGTACTTATATGAGGCTTCATGAATAAGAAATGCTGAAACCAAGAGAGAAGCCAGAAAGCTCTGCTCATCCACAAGTGCTTTCATCCTGCCATGCCTAATTATCCTGGTGTTTCCCCATCATCCATCTGTTCAGGTCTTCCAAATAAATTGTTCCCTGCCTTGTTTGCCTTCGGATTTTTCAGTGAGAGCAAGATGTTCAAAGCCTTTTTGTTGATTCAACCATCCTCATTTGTTGCGGGCTTCTCTCAGGACTTCCTCATTTGATTTCTTTTTCTTCCTCAAAATTCTCAAGTCAAAAAAAAAAAAATCCACATATCTGTTGCTTTTATTTAATTTTTTCATTTTTCAAATTTTTTGTTACCATATTTGGTAATTGTCCAGCATTCACAGACATAGAAGCATTGACCTCACATGGCCTTTTAGAACCCTTATTTTAGCAGTCATTAGGGTGTTTCTATTTTTCAGGGTTGGCCTCACTTTATTAGAGTTCTTCTTAGCTATTTTGATGCTTCGCTTTATTTTTGTGGAACACAAAAGAAAGAGGTTCGATTCCAGGATGGGGAAGTATATTTAATCCATCTTTCCATTCGGATGCTGTATCAGAATCAGCCAGAGACAGCCTTGACAGGGAGGACGAAAAAATCTCACCTCTTAAATGATCTAAATCATATCAAGGGAGCTCAGGGATTTAAAGTTATTATAACTATAACCATTACAATACAACACCTTAAGTTAAACCTGTAGTGAATATGATTATCTAGCTGGTAAAAAACGTATTATTTTTTAACGAGATCCCACGTAGGTCACTCTTCAATAGGACAAAAACTTTTATCAGCATTAATCAGGATCTGCAGACACTGTTCCACTCATCTGATGCACTGAGAGGAACACTTCACACCCTTAGCCATTTAATCAGTTGAGATAATATTTTTGTAGTTTATTTTAGATAACAGATTCACTTGACCTGCTACATTTGTGGTGAGCTTTAAAACATAAACGGTATGCCACTGCATTCACCTACAAAACAGCAGTAATTTCTATCAATGAAATTAAATCCCTGTATGCACATCATCACAATAGGCAGTACATAAAAAATACTTTTTTTTAAACACAAAAACCTAGTTTTTATTTACTTTGTCTTGTAACATTTCCCTCATGTCAGCAGGAGCCCTATGATTTTCAGCGAGGGTCTTTTACGACCATACAATTTTAAAGAGATAAAGTAAACTTAAAAAACTCTAAAAATAAAAAACGCTGGCTTTACATCTGAAAATCGCATAGTTACCTTATAGGAACTGTAGTCATGGAAGTCAGTATCATTGCCCAGGAGGGTCCAGTAGAATGTAGAGAGGTGGATAGATGATTTTGCATTTCGAAGAATTCTTAGGTGTGCTTCGTAGGTTGAGAGCAAAATGGGAGCTGATGCAGGGTAGGTGAGATTTTCTGGAATGCTCTCCACAAGGGTGAATCTGAAATTGGAACAAGGGGAAAAAAAGACGCAATCATGGTATTGTCTTTTTTAAAGTTTTAGTAAGAGTTTTACGGCACTTGCAACACAATAAGGTAATATAAATGCCGAAGAATAGAGGCGTTACAAGAGAGTAACATACACAAAAAAGAAGGAGGAGAGATAAAGACGATAGATGTTTGATAGAAAAGGAGCAAACCGCACCAGAGCCTGCAAGTGCAATCTCACGATAACGAGTCAAGTAACAACTAGACTACCGACGCCACCAACATTTCTTCTCTCATCATGGTCTCTGTTAATACATGTTGTACAGGCTGTACCCAGTGATGACTTTTATTTTTTATGTAACGACACATGTGTGACCAATCCCTTGGGGCATGCTTTTTGTAATACAAGTTATTGGCCGTCAATATGAGTAAGAAAGAACAAGCTATACAAGTACAATCACGCAACCCCAATGTCAACAATTCACTATGTTGCATTCTCATTTTTTTTTTTTGGTAAGTGTTTTATGGCGCTCGCAACTTCATACGGTCATATGAGCGCGCGGGACACACCTAATATTTTCAGTTGGAAGAAAATTTTGAATTTTGCCCAGGTGGCGGCCAAAGCCTACTCTTATCGATTTTAAACCACCAAGGGATCTTTAACGTGCGCAACTTGCACACGGGCCCTCCGACATTTTTCGCCCTTGTCCGAGAAGACTAGGTGTAGATCTTTCCTACCAGAAGATCAGGGGCGTGGCAGACAGACAGCAGTAAGGAGGAGCCAAGGAGTAGCAGTAGAAAGGCTGCAGAAAGAGTCAGGAGCCCAGAGGAGGGGGCAAAGGAGGTGAGAGGGTGGAGGTATAAAGTGGAAACGAAAGCAGACAACAGAACATTGCTAGAGAGCAGGAAAGGAGGTGAAAGGAGACAATTTTAGAGAAAAACATTTTTCGGTCGCTTCCCGGATTCGAACCCGGGGCCTTTGAATGAGAGGCCAACACCTTAACCTCTAGGTTACGAGAGCCCCCATGTATTCTAAGCGCACCTAAAAGTCTTGGGTATATCATGAATCACGAAATATAGGGAATGTTTTGTTTTCATGTTAAATTCAAAGAAAGCTATTTTTGTGGACTCAAATACAGTGTAATCCATGTTATTATAAAGATAGTAAACTAAGTCTCCATATAAAAACTAGCTTATTATCATTACTACCTTGTCCTTCATTCGTCTTGAACCATTAAATTGATTAAAAACCAAACAAAATATACCCCAAAAAATCTTGTTGCGTAATACTAATGCTTTGGTAATTTATTCTTTTCATAGACATTAGTATGGGTGCATTGCCCATTTGTTATCCTCAATTATTATTTGTTATTGGTTGTGAAACTTTATCTGCCCCCGTCCCCTTCCCCCAAAAAACAATTTTGACAGTACAAAATTGTCTTAGTAGGAGTTCTCGGGCACACTAAGGTCCAAGAAGGGCCGAAGATTAGAGCTGTTAAAAGAGAGTAACAAATGCCTTTCCCGGGGACACCACGATCGATCGAGCTGACCCTCGAACCAACAAGCCTGCCATCTCACGATAACGAATCCAGTAACCCTAGACTACCGACGCCACCAACATTTCTTTTCTCAATTCAAATAATAAAAAGGTACCCCAAAAATTTACTTAAAAAATAAACAAAAACAAAACAAAAAAAACACAAGACAAAACGAAGAGAAAAGAATAATTGGTTCATTTCGTTGCTATCGAAATTGTGTCCGAGCAGGTTGCAGAAAAACAAAAATACACCAGAACACTGTGAAGAAGAGTACATGTACGTGTACCACTTACATACAAGGGAGCTCTCGAGGTCTAGAGGTTAAGGTGTTCACTTCTCCTTCAATAGATCCCGGGTTCAAATCCAGATAGCGACAAAAAAATTTCTCTTCTAAAATGTTGTTCTCCTTTCACATCCTTTCCAGCTCTCTAACGACGTTCTGATATCTCCTTTCGTCGCCACTTTCTGCCCCCAGCCCACACCTCCTTTGCCGCCTCCTCTGGGCTCCTGACTCTTTCTACAGCCTTTCTACTGTTACTCATTGGCTCCTTCTTACAGCCTGCTGACTTTCAGTTTCAGCCACACCCCTGATCTTATGGTACGAAAGATCTACACCCAGCCTTCTCGGACAAGGGTGAAAAAATCTTGGACGTCCCATATGCAAGTTACATACGTTAAAGATTGCAAAACGTTTACTAAAAAAACAACCCAACAATGACAACTAAAAACCAAACACCGACCACCCCCCTCCCCCCAACAAAAACGTATGCCTGAAAAATAATTTAGGATACAAATTTTTAGACGTAGCTCACTGTCAACAGAGGGTAGTCTTACGGAGCAGTAGGGCCTGACATTGTACAAAAGCAGACTTAACCAAAACACCAATCTTCTACTCACTGGAAATTATAGGAAACAGACATAATTCAGCACAATTATTACTGCTCACTTAAACAGAAATGTTGACTTTACTACAACACCCACCTCATGCTCACTAGAAATGATAGACAATTGACATCATTTAGCACATTTAAAGCCACGTTACAAGTTACAGGCGGGTGGTTGGGGGGAGCTCTGGTGTGGTTTGCTCCTTTTCTATCAAACATCTATGGTCCTTATATCTCTCTACCCCCCCCCCCCCCCCTTTTTTTGTCTTTGGTCTTTCTTACTCTCTAGTAGCACCTCTAATCTCCGACACATATATGACCTAATTGTCTTGCATAAAGCTCTTACTAAAACAAAACCACTCTACAGTCTCCTACAACACGGCAATTTCAGTTGGCAACAGGCGCTCTCTAAAGTGGAGCCGTACAGTACTTGGGCAAAGGTCAAAAGTTCATAACAGAATAACTGAAGTGGTCACATGACCTTTACCAAATTTTCTAAATTAACTTTTAGAGATAGATAATAGCAAGAGACAGAAAAGGGCTTGGAGGAAAATGGGGGGGGGGGGGAGATAACAAAAACTTTTGTTAGATGTTTTATTAATATTTTGAATAAAAAGCATAACAGTAGCTTGAGGAAGATGTGTTATTATTCATAAAAATGTAACCGATGGGCTATTATTAGATTAGCACACATTTTAGTTTTGAATAAAAAGCATAACAGTAGCTTGAGGAAGATGTGTTATTATTCATAAAAATGTAACCGATGGACTATTATTAGATTAACACACATTTTAGTTTTTGCTTTAGTAAGTGTTTTACGGCACTTGCAACACAATAAGGTCATATAAGTGCCGAAGATTAGAGGTTACAGGAGAGTAACAAACACGAAAAAAAGGGAGGGTAGATAAAGACGATAGACGTTTGATAGGAAAGAAAGCAAACCACACCAGAGCACCCGCCAACCGCCCACTAGCACACATTATTAGAGGACTCTAACCTCTGTGAAGTTTTCCCAAAACTCAACAACGCACGTATCAGCACGCTTTATCACTCTCTCTTCTACGTTCTTCCTTCCTTTGTCAAACGTCACACAACACTTTAATATCTTCTAGCTGTCAACCTGTCGACCTCCACCCAGTTTTTAAGATAACAGTGACCTTACGCAGTTGCGAGCGCCGTAAAACCCTATACTACTACTACTACTACTACTACTAGATAACAGCCTGTGCGTTTACATTAGTAACGGCATGCCTGCCTGTATAATTATCACTAATAATAAATGCTGTTCTTTTAGTACCTCCAGCTTAGTTTTAGTACCTCCAGCTTAGGTAAAGGGTATACAAATCTTTATTAACTTCCTTATCACTGGGTATACAAATCTATAAATTATTAACTTCTTTATCGCTGACACAGAAAACAACAAACAATAAACAAAAACAAAAAAACAACAGATCACTGCATGACCTGAATGATTTCTGAGACCTCCATTGCCAAAATTTTAGAGGCTGTCTGACTGAACCTGGGACCAGATCTCGGCAAACAAGCTGTGTTCACAGCCCTCTATATATGCTTTTGCTAGCAAATACTCACAACAGGAGCCACGAGGTGATTGATAATATATTAAAAGAAAACGTTTACTGCCGAGGCAGTTATTTCTATTAATCTAAATGTAAATTAACCACAACCAGGAAGGGCAGATCAAGTATCTGAGGGCACTACTCCTTTGCCCCCCCCCCCTCTCTCTCTCTCTCTCTCTCTCTCTCTCTCTCTCTCTCTCTCTCTCTCTCTCTCTCTCCTTCCCTTCCACACACACACACACACACACACACAAACATACGTGCATCTAATGCTCTCTTCCTCCACTCCTCATCGTTATTTTTTATTTTTTTTAGGGGTTGGGGGGTACATCCAGAGACTGAAAACATCAACTGACCCTCTCTCCACACACACACATACACACACACACACACACACACACACACACACACAGTAAATACGACAACGCCTTTGCCCTTGCCCTCGGCCAATCCCCAGAGCGGGGTCATGGGGAGGGGGAGGGGAGTGGGGGCGGGGCAGCTGGCCTGCCAAGAGCTCACAGTTGGCAGTTATCTAGAGATAACAATTTTATTACAACTTGAAAGTAAATAACTTCCTTCCCAACCTGCACAACAAAGCACAATCAAATATATAAATGGAAAGCTCATATTTGGTCGCTTATAAGTACAAGCGGGCTATCCCGAAAAACGCTGTTTTGGGAAACTCGAAGGTAAAGTTTTTGCCCCTTGTTCAGTTTCTTAAAAAGACGAAGAGAGTTTTCTCTTTGACCAAACAAATATACACACCGAAAAAAAAACAACTTCTCCTATAGATAGGGCAATGCCCACTTTTAGTGTAGGTCAAGATTTCTGGAAACCCCCGAAGTCTCAGTTACCCCGCTTGTACTTAAAAGCGACCATATTTAGATTCATTTTATGTTGGAGTGGATCTTTAAATTCTCTAATAGTTTTAGTTGGAGACATGGGGTAGAAGTCGAAAAAAGTCTAGTCTTTCCCTCTTTCCCAAATTTTAGACTTTACATGAAAACATGTGTAT